GGGGGGGGGGGGGGGGGGGGGGGGGGGGGGGGGGGGGGGGGGGGGGGGGGGCTGGTAGAGGAGAGAGACCTGTGGTTGCATGCACGGTTGTCATCAAACCTTCTGCGATACCAAAAACCTCATGAACCACCTGCATGTCGTATTTCCATAGAGCTCAACTTCTTTGGATATTAATTTTATTTCTTTAAATGCCTAAGCACCTGGGATTTACACACCTTCGCAATAGGAGCAAGACAATTCGTGGTACAGCTTGCATTTGAAACAATATCCATGTCTGGCTTATATGTCATCTCATTAACTCCAACAACGAACATAGGTGCATCAGCTGATGGAGCTGATATGACAACTTTCCTGGCTCCACCCTATAAAGAGGTGTCAAGAAATTGGGGGCCTTTAGTCTTCAATTTAGATGACTGAGAACTAAGTTCAATTAACATGTCTATATACCTTCAAGTGCGCTGATGCCTTATTTGTCGTCGTGAAAATCCCAGAGGATTCAACAACAAACTCGACCCCAAATTGACCCCAAGGAATTTCTGCCGGATCCCTATAGAAATTACCATAGATTCATTCCAGGTGATTAGAAGCCAAGCAACAATTCTCTAGACGTTACTTCTGTCTTAAATGTTGCTCTGGTTTTCTTAGTACCTTTTACTTGAAACTTTTATTTGTTTCCCATTGATTTCCAAAGTTGAATCATCCACAACGTTAATTGTACCATTAAAATTACCATGTGTAGAATCAAATTTGAACATGTATGCCTGCATAAAATGAGGAGTATATTAAAAGCATTTCATCACATCTAAAAGCTTGATCGTTAAGCAATTCTGGGAAGTTGGAAACTGAAAGAATTACCACTCAACTACTCTCCCACGGCTATAATCATAGTGTAGTTTTTCAAGTGAAATGATTAAAAACCACAATTAAAAGAACAACAACTGACGGCAAAAAAGGGCTTATTTAAAAAGGAGGCTGGATTGCCACTACCATGTACTTTGCATCAACAAAAGGGTCATTAACTGCAACTACATCAATATCATCCCTCAAGGTTGCAATTCGTAACACCAATCTTCCAATGCGTCCAAAACCTGCATAAGTAAAACAGGATTCACGTTTTTATTTGCGAGGACATTACTTTATAAAATAAATACCAATGTCAAGGTCTACACGATATGAGAGGCCATGTTGAATGTTTGATTTTCGAGGAAAAATGACAACAAAATCAACCACGATTTATCTTCTTGTTTCTCAAACGCTGATGTAGAATCTTCTTTTTTTTTTCTTTTAAAAAGTTATATCAAGTTCAAAGTGCACCATGGCATGGGGCTTCAAGTGCTCCAATCTATATATATATAACATAAACAGACGTTTGGATACAAACAAAACACCAGTTTCCATCTACAGAAACAAAGTGTGGGGTAGCATGAAAAACGAAAATGATCAATGATTTCCAACACGCCAATAAGCATGTGAAATCAGGGACTATAAAAACTGAACTCCCAGAGTAAGCAGCTGTAATTATTAAATTTAAGCCTCTTTACAATGGAAAGGAACCAAAAACTGAAGTTCCACATGCGTCTTTTATTAAACCAATTCTTCAGTTTCTTAACTTCTACAAATCGACAAACAAAATTAGTCCAATTCAGTATTTTGGAGTGCGTAACTGTCTAACAAACACTCACAGCTGAAACATGCTGCAGAAACAGAAATACACAAGTAGAAAAGAGAATGTTATGCCATTGATTACAAGAAAGAAGATAAGTAAAAATGTAAATAATCGACCAACTCATACCATTGATTCCGATCTTCGTCTTTCCACCGCTGCTCGATTCTAGAGAAACCAACAAATCGAAATGATTAGCATCGAGAATTTATTTTCTATTTATTATTGATAATTTTTTTAAAGAAAAAGGGAAAAAAAAAAAAAAAAAAGACAGTGAACGTGATAAGAGAAATGAAATATGAAAATTTAAAACTCAACTACAAACTGCGGGAGGTATTTCAGTAGCTGTAGCTTTAATAGGTTGAATATTGTGGGGTGTACGAAGCTGGAAGGAAGATGATCCGCTTGAAACATGAGCAACGAAAATGCTGGATTGAAACTTGGAAGAACTCAAATTAACGCACGAAGCCTACACAAACAAATTCGACGGTGAGTAAGAAAACAACTTCGCCATCAGCTAATCAAGATAAGCCGTGGGCTTTTGGAGTGTGGAAGGCAGCGAAGAAAGTTGTAAACAGATTGGGCCTCAAATTTATTCATTGTTTAAAGTCATTTCCAGTGGATTATAAAGTTATTAAGAAAGAGAAGCTTGTTGACTAAATTCCATTTGGGAACACAGTATATTAGTGAAACAAATGAAGGATGGGTAGAAGCATTGAGAAGACGAGCACCGTAGGGTGATCGGCAGAAGAGAGAGGAAGCGACGGTACGGCCATTGAAGCAAGACTTGTAGGAGGCATTGGGGAGCAAATGGGCGAGAAAAGGGGTTGGTGACACACAAACGCAGAATAAAGAAGAAAATAAAAAGCAAAGCAAGAAGAAGAAGATTCTGAAACAGAGAAAAATGAAGAAACGATAGTGGCCAATTCAGCGGTGCGGAGATTCTTATGGAAGCTTTCAAAATGCCCTCCACCTTTTGTGTATATATCCAACTTTCAGTGTGGGTCCCACAAACTGAACGCTCCTGGTTTGTTGGGTAGCCAGGAACTTCAGGGCCGGTCTGACGGGAAGTCCACATGGGCAACATGTGGGCCGTTTTTTTGAGCCTTGCTTCCACCATATTTTCCCATCTCATGCTTCAATTTTTGTGTACTTCCATGACTAATACGGTAATGGTTAATGGTTATTTACCTCAGTGGCGCTCAAAGGAGCTGCTGTTCCATCATTTAAAGCAGGCATTTACCCCACCATCTGTTTTCATCCGCCACCGATCCCTCACCAACAAGGAAAGGGTGGCAGCAAGATATTCATTCATTCACGCCACAAAACTGGACGCCAGTTTGCTTTGGAGGCTTTCGTTTTGTACAGTTCAGGATGAAATTTAAGCAACAACATTCGTGAACAAAGGCGATTCATTACTGGTAAAACAGCCTGAATGCATCTCAGACATCAGCATCGTTTAACATTTTAAATGGATGAAAAACAAATAATGGTCTAAGACCGTGGACCATATATATATATGTTCAGAGGAGAACTTGACAGTTTATTCGAAATCTATCTTATAACTGCAACCTCTTCTCAAAGAAAAAAAGAAATCCTCATTAGGTTGAACGACCTTCACAATGCAACACAAGGAAAACACGCCAAGAAAATGGAGGTCCCTCAAGCTCAAGCTCAAGCTCAGGCTCAAGCATCGTCGAGGGCAAGAACACCCGGAAGCGGTTTTCCTTCAAGAAGCTCTAAGCTGGCACCACCACCAGTGGAGATGTGGCTCATCTTATCTGCAAGCCCAACTTTCTCAACAGCCGCAACAGAGTCACCTCCTCCAATTATGGTGGTCACTCCCTTCCCACTCAGCTCTGCCAACTTCCTCGCAATAGCCTGCACAACACATAAACCAACCCACCCAACACTCTCAAGTACACAGGCAATATATACATACAACTCACAGCATAAAAGTTTTTAAAACTGGTCACTCCTCCTATTGCGTACCTCTGTTCCAGCTGCAAACTTGTCAAACTCAAACACTCCCATAGGTCCATTCCAAATAACGGTTTGGGTAGAATCCAAAGCTTCACTGAAACTCTTGATAGAATCAGGTCCAATATCCAACCCCATCCATCCATCCGGGATAGCTGATGCTGCCACAACCTGAAAAAGTAGGGACAAACAATTTATCAACTATGCTCATGAATGTTGTTCAGCTCGAATTTACCAATATTCAATTCACAAAACATTAATTACCAACCTTGCTGTTTGCATCAGCAGCAAATTTATCAGCTACCACTACATCAGTTGGAAGCAAGAGAGAAACTCCTTTAGCTTTTGCCTTCTCAATGAGTGAGGTAGCGAGGTCAAGCTTGTCTTCCTCCACGAGGGATGAACCCACTGAGTGACCTTGTGCCTTGTAGAAGGTGAAGATCATTCCTCCACCCAGGAAAAGAAGGTTAACCTTCTCCAACAAGGATTCAATCACTCCAATCTTTGATGACACCTTTGAACCACCAACAATGGCGGCAAATGGCCTCTTGGGATTAGACACAGCCCCAACCAGGTAGTCAAGTTCCTGAACCAAGAGCACCATCAGATGTATCAGGCAGCGTCTAGAAACCACCAACCAAATGTACATCATTAATCTTATCATGTGATTGACTGATAGTGTCTATTTTTACTCTCAACAAGAAAGGTTACAGAGCGTGCGTGCAACAAACCTTCTGCATAAGGAACCCAGCAACAGAAGGTTTCAAATACTTAGCCACACCCTCCGTGGAAGCGTGAGCCCTGTGAGCAGTTCCGAAGGCATCATTAACATAAAGATCCGCGAGTGAAGCCAACTTCTTGGCAAACTCAGGGTCATTCTTCTCTTCCTCCTTGTAAAACCTCACGTTTTCAAGCAGCAATACACCTCCCTCAGACAATTCAGCGACCAACTTCTCAACTTCCTCGCCAATACAATCATTAGCCATTATCACCTATTATGAAAGGGCATTCGAAATTTCAGTAGTCAGCAACGGTATCATTAAATACAAACACGAATCCATCACCCCCCCCCAAAAAAAAAAAAATAATAGATAATAAAAACATCTACACAAAATGTAGATGCCATACCTGAAGTCCAAGTAGCTCGGAAAGCCTGGGAATAAGAGGCTTCAAACTGTATTTCGGTGTAACACCCTTTGGTCGTCCCTAAAAGACCACAATAATCGATAACAAATAAGCAAAGGGATTTATACAAAATGAAAAATTCGGCGAATTAAAAAAGAACTCGAAAATTCATGCAGAATATTACAGAAGAAGTAGGGCTTGTCGGTAAAGAACATCACAGTAGTGGATCACTCACGATAGAATAATACATACCGCCACTCTAAATTTAATGCAAGGGAAAAGAAGACGCAGATTATGGAAACCTTCTACTAGAGGGAACTAACATTGCCCCTTACACGACGGGTCGACGAGACTTCCAATATTTGATACTAAGAATATTAGATCCACAAAATTGAACCGCGCATACAAGGAATGGGAATAGAAAATTGTACATTTATCCAAAATCGCAACATTCATGTTCAAGTTCATCCAAATTCATCAAGCAAGATGTGAGAAAATGGGAAAGGGGTGATGAAAATTCCTGAAGACCAAATCGAAACTTATAATTCTCAGACGTGTTATCAAATGCAACGATTGAAGGAACCCAGAAACTAAAACTCAGGAAAGACATGGGCGATGGATAGATCTGGTGAGAACGATAAAGATGGAAAGGAGATGATGTAAAAGGGGATAAGAATCGCACCAAGTGGGTAGAAAGGATAACTCTGGCGCCATGGCCAAGCAAATACTGAATGGTAGGAACAGCGGCACGGATTCTGGTGTCATCGGTGATGTTGAAGTTGTCATCCAAAGGAACGTTGAGATCGACCCTTACAAACACTCTCTTTCTCTTCAAATCAGCCTCCTTCAGAGTACCGACGCTCCTTTTGGTTGCCATAGCAATCGGCTGAGCAAAAGGACACAGAAAACAACGGATTAAAACAGAACCCAAAAGAGGAAAAGTAGGGGAGAGGGAAAAGTAGGGGAGAGGGAAAAGAGGGATGGGATTGGTAAAACTAACGAGAAAAAAAAGATGGAGAAATTAGAGAAGCGGCGTTTAGACAGTGAGGGGAGCAAAGACGAAAGAAACGGTAAGGGGAGGAGGAATTTATAGAGGGAAAAGCGTACACGTGGTGAGGAGCGGAGATCAGCGAAAGCAATTACGGCGGTCTCGTCTTTCTTTGGTCTTAGTAAAATCCCAGGTTTTGAAAAGCTTGTTTTTTTTTTTTTTTTTTTTTTTTTT